AGTCTTAGTCTTGCTCTGTGGTGAGACTGGAGTGCAGTGGTGCAATCTCGACTCAGTGCGGCCTCGACCTCCTGGGCTCAAGCAATCCTCCGCCACAGCCTCCCAAAGCACTAGGATTACAAGTGTGTGCCGCTGTATCTGGCACCCTCTTGCACTTCCTTCCTTTCTTTTGAGACGAGTCTTGCTCTGTCACCAAGGCTGGAGTGCAGTGGCGCGATCTCAGCTCACTGCAATCTCCACCTCCTGGGTTTAAGCGATTCTCCTGCCTCAGCCTCCTGAGTAGCTGTCACTACAGGCACATGCCACCAAGCTCACCTAATTTTTTTGTATTTTTACTAGAGACAGTTTCACAATGTTGGCAGGATGGTCTTGATCTCCTGACCTTGTGATATGCCCGCCTCAACCTCCCAAAGCGCTGGGATTACAGGCATGAGCCACTGCACCTAGCCTAATAGTAGAGACGAATAGTTAGCCAGGCTGGTCTCAAACTACCCCTTTTTTTTTTTTTTTTTTTTTTTAAACAAGACACGGTCTTGCTATGTTGCCTAGGCTGGAGTGCAGTGGCTATTCACAGGTGCAATCCCACTACTGATTAGCACGGGAGTTTTGACCTGCTCCATTTAGAACCTGGGCTGGGTCATCCCTCCTTAGGCAACCTGGTGGTCCCCCACTCTCGGGAGGTCACCATATTGATGCCAAACTTAGTTCGGACACCCGATCGGCATAGGGCACTACAGCCCAGAACTCCTGGGCTCAAGCGATCCTCCCACCTCCGCCTCCCGAGTAGCTGGGACTACGGGCACGAGCCACCATGCCCGGCTTCAACTCCCAACCTCAAGTGATCTGCCCACCTCGGCCTCCCAAAGTGCTAGGATAACAGGCGTGAACCACCACGCCCGGCCTCCCTCTTGCACTCCCTAAACAACCAGCAAACCAAACAGCCAACCAAACATCCAGCTTCCCCTACACCAAAGCAAAACCAGGCATGGAAGGGAATTGAATCCAGAAGAACACAAAAGGAAGGTGGGTTTTATCTCATGAGACAAAACCCAGATCATCCCACACATGCAGGGAAATGAATGACTCCATCCTCAGGGCATCACTGTGGGCTCTGGAGGCTCCAGCCTTCAGCAGCCCCTCGGATCTGCGTCCGAGCTCCTCTTCTGTAAAAGGGGGCTACTCGAAGCCCCCCTCATGAAGCCCCCCTCATGACTTCATGAGGCACAGGAAGGAAGAGGCAAGGCTGCCCAGGGCACGCCCTCCTGCCTGTGCAACTGCCAAAGCAGAAAGCACAGATGGAATGCGAAACACGCAAAACCCACATTTCAACATTTACCAAACCGTCTGCTTTGAATACGGGCAGATTATTGCATGTCAATTAAACCCGCATAAACTGTTAAGGAGAAAACGAAGGAAAAAGCAAGTGCAGGCCGGGCGCGGTGGCTCACGCCTGTAATCCCCGCACTTTGGGAGGCCGAGGCGGGTGGATCACAAGGTCAAGAGATTGAGACCATCCCGGTCAACTGGTGAAACCCCGTCTCTACTAAAAATACAAAAAATTAGTTGGGCATGGTGGCGCGTGCCTGTAATTCCAGCTACTCAGGAGGCTGAGACAGGAGAATTGCCTGAACCCAGGAGGCGGAGGTTGCAGTGAGCCGAGATCGCGCCATTGCACTCCAGCCTGGGTAACAAGAGAGAAACTCCGTCTCAAAAAAAAAAAAAAAAAAAGCAAGTGCAAAAAAGCAGCGTGGGCCGGGCGCAGTGGCTGACGCCTGCAATCCCAGCACTTTGGGAGGCCGAGGTGGGTGGATCACCTGAGGTCAAGAGTTCGAGACCAGCCTGGCTAGCACGGTGAAACCCTGTCTCTACTAAAAATACAAAAATGAGGCCGGGCACGGTGGCTCACACCTGTAATCCCAGCACTTTGGGAGGCCGAGGCGGCTGGATCACGAGGTCAAGAGATCGAGACCAACCTGGTCAACGTGGTGAAACCCCGTCTCTACTAAAAATACAAAAAATCAGCTGGGCACGGTGGTGCGTGCCTGTAATCCCAGCTACTCAGGAGGCTGAGGCAGGAGAATTGCCTGCCTCCGTCTCAAAAAAAAAAAAAAAAAAAAAAAAAGAGTTGGGTGTGGTGTCGTGCGCCTGTAATACCAGCTACTCAGGAGGCTGAGGCAGGAGCACCACCTGAACCTCGGAGGCAGAGTTTGCAGTGAGCAGAGTTGGCACCCTGCACTCCAGCCTGGGCAACAAAGCGACACTCCAGACTCCAAAACATACAAAAAGCAGTGTGTACAAAGACTGGAAATCTTATCCCCAAGAAAAGGCGCGGCTCTGGAGCACTGATTTTCTGCAATGTGATTGCATTTTCCAATCTCCCCTATCTCCCCTCCCTTCTCAGTGACTTCTTATAAAATCCACCATTGCTTACACTTTTTTTTTTTTTTTTTTTTTTTTTTTTTGAGACCGAGTTTTGTTCTTGTCGCCCAGGCTAGCACGCTGGACTGCAGTGGCATGATCTCGGCTCACCACAATCTCCACCTCACAGGTTCAAGCGATTCTCCTGCCTCAGCCTCCCAAGTAGCTGGGATTACAGGCAGGTGCCACCGCACCCGGCTGATTTTTCTATTTTTAGTAGAGATGGAGTTTACCATGTTGGCCAGGCTGGTCTTGAACCCCTGACCTCAGGTGATCCACCCGCCTCGGCCTCACAAAGTGTTGGGATTACAGGCGTGAGCCACCGAGTCCAGTCTGTTGCTTACACTTTTTTTTTTTTTTTTTTTTTTTTTTTTAGACAGAGTTTCGTTCTTGCAATGGTGCGATCTCGGCTCACCGCAACCTCCGCCTCCTGGGTTCAGGCAATTCTCCTGCCTCAGCCTCCTGAGTAGCTGGGATTAGAGGCACCTGCCACCATGCCCAGCTAATTTTTTGTATTTTTAGTAGAGACGGGGTTTCACCATGTTGACCAGGATGGTCTCAATCTCTTGACCTCGTGATCCACCCGCCTCGGCCTCCCAAAGGGCTGGGATTACAGGCTTGAGCCACAGTGTCCAGCGCTTACACTTTTAATACCCTCTTTGCTGCGGAAGGGCCTCTTCGGCCGGGCGCGGTGGCTCACGCCTGTAATCCCAGCACTTTGGGAGGCTGAGGTGGGTGGATCACCTGAGGTCAGAAGTTCGAGACCAGCCTGGCCATCATGGTGAAACCCCATCTTTTTTTAAAAAAAAGGCTGTTGAGCCGGGCGCGGTGGCTCAAGCCTGTAATCCCAGCACTTTGGGAGGCCGAGGCGGGTGGATTACGAGGTCGAGAGATCGAGACCATCTTGGTCAACATGGTGAAACCCCGTCTCTACTAAAAATACAAAAAATTAGCTGGGCATGGTGGCACGTGCCTGTAATCCCAGCTACTCAGGAGGCTGAGGCAGGAGAATTGCCTGAACCCAGGAGGCGGAGGTTGCGGTGAGCCGAGATCGCGCCACTGCACTCCAGCCTGGGTAACGAGAGCGAACCTCTGTCTTAAAAAAAAAAAAAAAAAAAAAAAAAAAAAAAAAAAAAAAAAGGCTGCTTTGAAAAAGCCCGACCACCCTGGGCCCTGGGGGTCCTGAGGCCCTGCGAAACTTTCATCCACACGGGGAGGCAAGAGGTCCTGGGGGAGGACAGTGGGTCGGGACCAGGAGTTGACCCCGCAGCTGGACCCCTCCCGGGTAAGGCGGGGCATCGGTCTCCCCGCCGCCGGCGCTCGCCCCTCCCGAGGGATCAGCCTCCCTCCCCGCCTGCGTTCAGCCTTCCTGAAGGATCCTGCTTTCCCGCCGCCTGAATTCGCCCTTCCTCCCCCACACCCCCGGCTCTTGTTGCCCAGGCTGGCGTGAAGTCGCGCGATCTCACTGCAACCTCCGCCCCCCCGGATTCAGGCGATTCTCCTGCCTCAGCCTCCCGAGTAGCCGCGATTACAGGCGCCTGCCGCCCCGTCCGGCTTATTTTGTATTTTTAGCAGAGACGGGGTTTCGCCATGTTGGCTGGTCTCGAACCCCCGACCTCAGGCGATCCGTCCGCCTCGGCCTCCCAAAGTGCTGGGATGACAGGCGTGAGGCACCGCGCCCAGCCTCGCCCTTCCGGAAGGCTCGGCCTCCCCGCCGCCTAATTCGCCCCTCCCGGCACCCACCTGGCCGCCCTTGTCGCCCGCCTTCGCCCCTCCCGGTACCCACCTGACCGCCTCACAGCCGCCGCGGAGGGACACTGCCGCGGGAGACGCCTCACACGCGCGCGCGGCCGCACCCGCGGGCCGCGCCTACTTTCCTTAAAGGGCCCGGGGCTCTGCGTAGAAGCGACGTGCAGGAGTCCCCTGGAGACTCTGTCCCGCGGGCTCTAGGACCCCCAAGCGGCGAAGGCGCGCGGAGCCACGTTCCGGCCAGCAGCCGTGGGACGCCCTGAGAACCGGCCAGGCTGCGCGGGGCCGGGCGGAGCTCTCCGTTGCCTGGCAACCGGGGCCGCGGTCTGTGGGCGGAGCTTGCACAGCGGTTGGGACACGGGGCGGGGCCTCAGTGAGAGTCGGCCGAGGAACCAGCAGGGGCCACTGGCGCATGCGTGGGACGCGGCATGGCGGTGGGCCCATCCAGGAGTGGAGTTTTCACTGAGGGGCCGCTCATGAGCGGGGCTGGACCCAGGAGGGGACGGGGCCTGTGCTGGTTGGGTGAGCGGGGGAGGAGGAGCGGCCTAGTGCCGTGGTGGGCGCCGTTGGTTGGTGCGAGGCGGAGGGGCGTGGCACAGGGGGTGCCGTTGGTTGGCGTGCGGCGGGGGGGCGTTGCACAGGAAGCGCTGTTGGTTGGCGTGCGAAGGAGGGGCGTGGCACAGGAAGCGCCGTTGGTTGGTGCGCGGCGGAAGGGCGTGGCACAAGAAGCGCCGTTGGTTGGTGCGCGGCGGAGGGGCGTGGCAAAAGAAGCGCCGTTGGTTGGTGCGCGGTAGAGGGGCGTGGCACAGGAAGCGCCGTTGGTTGGTGTGTGGCTGAGGGGTGTGGCGCGAGCAGCGCCGTTGGTTGGCCGGCGGCGGGCGGGACAGGCATGGCCCTGTTGCTGTGCCTGGTGGGCATGACAGCGGCGCTGGCCCACGGCTGCCTGCACTGCCACAGCAACTTCTCCGAGAAGTTCTCCTTCTACCGCCACCATGTGAACCTGAAGTCTTGGTGGCTGGGCGACATCCCCGTGTCGGGGGCGTTGCTCACCGACTGGAGTGACGACACTGTGAAGGAGCTGCACCTGACCATCCCCGCCGAGATCAGTGAGTGCCGGAGCCCAGCCCAGTCCCGACCACCCGTCCAGCGAAAACCCCGGGCAGGCCGCTCAGCTGGCTCCTCCTCCCGCCCGCAGCCTGGGAGAAGCTGGACCAAGTGGCGAGAGCCGTGTACCAGAGGATGGATCAGCTGTACCAGGGGAAGATGTACTTCCCGGGTAAGGGGCGGGAAACCGAGGCGGGGCCCGCCCACCCCAGGACACCCCGCCCACCGCCTGAGCCTGACCTTTTGCCCCGGCACCTCAGGGTATTTCCCCAATGAGCTGCGAAACATCTTCCGGGAGCAGGTGCAACTCCTCCAGAACGCCATCATCGAAAGTGAGCAAATAAGGCTTCAGGGGAGGGAGGTTCTGCCCAGAGCCGCAGAGACCCGCGGGGCTTGGCTGAGGCCGGAGTGACATGAGCAGGGCACTGGGCAGCTGAAAAGGAGGGCAGCTCCCCAGAGAGGGACCCTGCCCAGCGCCTGAAGGATCAATGCTATCACCCCCGACACACACCCCCCCGGGAACCTCCCCTAAGTAGCCCCCAGAGGCGCTGGGAGTATTCTCACCGCCCTCCCCTGAGGTCTGCTCCATCACACGCTGGGAGTCACCTTGGGTACCTCTTCCTTTGGGTCATGGACACACATACATGAAACTCAGGTGAGCCTGGGTCCCAGTGGAGAACCCTGAGGCTTTGGCGGGTTGGGCGGAGGCACGGCGGGGGAACAAGGCTGGGCCTGGAGATTGCACCGTCTGCCCTCCCACAGGCCGCATCGACTGTCAGCGCCACTGTGGTAAGTGAGGCTCCATCCCGGCTGAGGGCAGCGCCAGCGGCAGCTCGGGGCCCCAGAGGCCGAGGTGAGCCCAGGGCGGCTGTGGTGTGTTGCAGGCATCTTCCAGTACGAGACCATCTCCTGCAGCAACTGCACAAACTCGCACGTCGTCTGCTTTGGCTATAACTGCGAGTAGGGGCTCAGGCATCGCACCCGCCTGTGCCAAGGCCCTGCTGTCCCTGGGGTCCCAGGCTCTCCTTGGAGGGGACTCCCCGCCCTCTACCTGGCCCTCGTCACTGGGATAGGGCAGGGTCTGGGGCTCAGGGGCGCACCACCTCCAAACCCACATTCCACAGGTCCTCGGAGCAGTGGAAGTCAGCAGTCCAGGGCCTCTTGAACTACATGTGAGTGGGGTCTCCCAGCAGTGGCAAGCTTGCCACCTGGGCTTGGGAGGAAACCCTGCCCACGGCCGCTCAGTCTCCTGAGTCCAAACCTGCTGTCCTTGTAGAAATAACTGGCACAAGTAAGTCCCCTCCTCAAACCCGACACAGGCTGTATGTGTGTGAGCACCTCGTGGGTGAGTAGGTGTGGGGCACAGGTGGACCCCCTCAGCTTCTGCGTCCTAGAGGGGCCCCGAGGAGGCGGGACCTCACCCCAGCTCTGTGCAGGAGCCAGCCGCAGCCCCTTTCTCTCTCGAGGGTCTCCGACCCTCAGCTGGAGGGGCTCATCTGGCTTAACAGGTCCCCATAGGGTCTGATCCCACCCCTGCCCCAGGTCTGTGTTCAAGCCTGGGAAGGTTCCCGACGATGGTTAGGGGTGCCCCATGGAGTCTGACTGCCCCATCTTGCCTTTCAGACAGGACACGAGCATGAGGTAAGGCCGCCCTGGCCCTGCCTTCAGGGGGAGGGGGTAAAGGGAGAGAAGAGGGGGTGCCGGGGGTCCTCTAGGTCGATGGAGCACTGCAGGTGGGGCTCTCCCTATGCCTGGGACACCTGCTGGATGCCACCTCTGCAACCACACCCATGTGGTGCTTTCATGAACAAACCACGCTTTCTCCTCCTCCTGGCTCGGGACGCACAGAGCCACCCCAGCCTTGTGAGTGACCCAGAGAAGGGAGGCCTTGGGAGAAGGGGTGCATCTAAGTCAACAGCAGTGTGCCATGGCCCCCACACCCTTCTGAAGTCCCAGGCACACGGGTGTCGTGGACGTGGCCACACACAGGACCACACGTCCCAGCTGAGAGGAGACCTGGGGCCCCCCAGCAAAGACCCCCAGGGAGGGAGGCGGGGAGTGGGGGGCACGGAGAGCTGAGGCGGCCTCATCTCCCCGCAGCCTGGTATCGCCAGCCTTCAGGTGTCTGGAGTCCCGACGCCTGGACAACCTGACCTTGGAAGATGCCGTCGAGTGTTTCAAGAAGCACTGACAGCACTGGGCCTGCCCCCGCACCACGTGGGGACCGGGACTCAGCCCCCTCCTGTCCTTCTGGAGCTGGGCGGCTGCTACCTTAGGTCCCCCTCCACCCCGGACTCAGCCCGAGCTGGCCCAGGCTGGGAGGGTGGGAATGCGGGTGGGCTGCACTGGACCATCGGCCCCTGCGCAGGTCCACGGAGCTCTGGGATGCAGTGATTAAAGTCCCTGATGTTTCTCCTTGCAGAAGAGTTCTTGCCAGGGCAGGAGGAAGCCTCTGGGGGCTGGAGATGGGCTTCTGGGGAGGCCTAAATGTCCCCGACAGAGCAGGGCGGGTCCTAGCCTTGGGTCCATGACCACGGGGACCTACTCGGAGCCACACTCACAGGGCCTCAGGGAGCGTCCTCAGACTCCCACCTGTGGGGCCTTGGCCCACCTGAGTGCACAAGCATAGACTCACACAAGAGCACCTGGGTTCCGTGCAAAGCGAGGCCACAGTGTCAGGGAGACCAGGGCCACCCCTAGCATGTCTGAGTGTTGCAGTCACTTACGTCAGACCTCAGCCAAGGAACGCCAGGAACCGTGGGCTGTGTCTGTGTCTAATCATCTCTGTGGCAACGACAGGTGTGGCATCATGGCCAGAGGCAGGGCTCCTGACGCCCAGGAGGGAAGGGACTCGTCCCATCTGTGCGGCGATGCAGCTCCCAAGTCCCATTTTCACTCGGGTGACCTCGGCCTGGAGGTCTCCTCGCTTCTGCGGGCGTCCCTCTGCTCCGGCACTGGGGCAGATGCAGGACCCTGGTGAGAACATCGCTGGGCACACTGCTGCTGCCAACGCGGTCCCATGCACTGTCTTGTGGCCGCCTCAGGCCCCCATCACGGGAGGGGTGCATGGGAACACTTGCTGAGGTCAGGAATGGTCTGTGGGAAGGTGGCCAAGCACACAGGCTCTGTGGGACACTGGAGCCACGGGTGTGTGGTGGAAAACTCGGTACTGGCCACTGCAGGCAGCGTCAGGAGTGATGGTGCCGGGTCTCGGCCGTTAATGCCTCAGCCTGGCTGTGAAGGATGCTTCCTTTGAGCCCGTGGAGTGTGTTTAGGTAACAGGAAAGAGGCCGATTTCTTTTTTTTTCTTTTTTTTTCGATAGATCTCGCTCTGTGGCCCTGGCTGGAGTGCAGTGGTGCCATCTGGGATCACTGCAACCTCCACCTCCTGGGTTCAAGCGATTCTCCTGCCTCAGCCTCCCGAGTAGCTGGGACTACAGATGTGCACCACGATGCCTGGCTAATTTTTCTATTTTCAGTAGAGACGGGGTTTCACCAGGATGGCCAGGATGGTCTCAATCTCCTGATGCCTTGGCCTCTCAAAGTACTGGGATTACAGGTGTGAGCCACTGTGTCTAGTCCTTTTTTTTTTGAGATGGAGTCTCCCTCGGTCACCTTTGAGGTGGAGTCACCAGGCTGGAGTCAGTCACCAGGCTGGAGTGCAGTGGTGTGACCTCAGCTCACTACAACCTCCGCACGCATCTTGGGTTCAAGTGATTCTCCTGTCTCAGCCTCCATAGTAGCTTGAACTACAGGTGCCCGCCACCACGCCCAGCTAATATTTGTAGTTTTAGTAGAGACGGGGTTTCACCATGTTGGCCAGGATGGTCTCAATGTCTTGACCTCGTGATCCATCCCCCTTGACCTCCCAAAGTGCTGGGATGACAGGTATGAGCCACCGTGCCAGGTTGGTCAGGCATGGTTTTCTAAAAGGGACGCTGGTGTGGGTGCAGCTGGGATCTTGTCGGTGCTGCTCTGACCCCCTGCCGTGAAACAGCCCGCCACTATGCCTGCGTCTTGGGTTACAGTTGGCGGGGCTTCCCTCCACTGAGCCAGCATCACCTTGTTCAAGGGTCGCATCTTCAAGGTGTGGCCAAGGTGGGTATAAAGGAGGCAAATTCACCCAGGGGCAGGGACGGCTGCTCTTCCGAGGTTCTCGGTTCTGCATCTGCCTCCGCCCTGAGGGGCTCCTGGGAAAGGGGGAGAGTAGGCACCTGCTCCCCTGTACGGTGCTGCGGGGAGACGCTGTGGCTCCACCATGGGGTCTGCCTGAGCCCCAGACCTGGATGGTGTTGGGGACCAAGGCCACCTCCCAAGGGCCCAAGATCTGAGGTGCAGAGGCTCTGGCCCTGCAGTGCCACGTGACCCAGGTCAGGGAGAAGACCCCACGTGGAAATGCCTGTTTTACGACTTTATTGGATCATCTTGACACAAAATCATGACAGCAGCGTGATATGTCTCTCTCTCCTTTATATGGGAATGTCGATAGCAAATAAATTCTTATGTAACACATCATACAATTTCAAATCCTAGAATCACTGCACGGGATTCTGTAATAGATTACATGCTAAAGTGACAGTTTTCATCAAAAGGAAAGATAAAATATCATCTCTGAGGAAGGGTCAGTCCTGTGTCCACACTGGCTGTGGGGAGTGAGCGGGGTCCCCCTGCCTACCTGGTAGGGGCTCTACCGGTGGGGCGACTCTCACGGGTCCTGCCAAGGGCACTGGGCACACTCCACACCAGGTCTACAGCCTGGGTCTGCTGCTCCCAGTCCCTGCCCGGGCCTTCCTGAGGGTGCTGGGAAGGACGCGGGGCAACCATGGTGCATACAGTGGCAGGTGGCGGGCGCGACCACATGCCCCCACCCCGAACCCAAGCCCACCGAGAGACACTTCTGCGGACCAGGAAGAATGGTGGCAGAGAGGCCTCCTCTAGCCCCGCCATGGTTCTGACTGCAGCCTCTCCTGGGTGGCCCCAGCCCCTCTTTGCCCATAGCTTGGCATCCCAGGGTCTGGCCACCAGCCCACGAGCACAGTGACAATGGACAGTGGCCGACAGGATTGCTTTCCCACTGCGGGTTCTGGGAGGGAAGCTTGGCGACGACGGCCCTTCCTTCTCCTCCCCTGGACAGACACCACCGTCAAGGTGTTTGGGACAAAAGCAGGCAGCCCCAGAGGAGGCCATGTCAGTCCCACCCTGTCCACCAAGTGGCCCCCACGTGGTGCCCGTAAGGTCCTGGCCCAGGCCAGGAGTCCCTGAAGCCACATTCAAGGACTTGACCCCTAGCACAGGGCAGGGCATGGACCCAGGCAGGGGAGTCCCTTGCTGGTTTGGGGACAAGAAGGGGACTTCTTGCCAAAGAGAGCGGGAAGAGTCACAGTAAAAAAGGATGGTCAGGTAATTCAACGCAACATATGACTTCCGATGTCTACACAGAAGACGACACGGAGTTAAATTAACACTCAGGCTTGGGTACAGTACACACGACCGAGGAGAGGTGAGACTCGTCAGGGCTGCGGTCCCTGGGTGCGTGCTCCACGGGGCGGGCGGGGCTCGCAGGCAGCTCTCAACACTTGGCCAGCGTCGCCTTCATCTCTTCTAACAAGTTGCTAAGCAGCGTGGAGTCGCTGCACTTCCCGTCGACCGAGACAGAGTTCTCACCCTGTGTAAGGAAGGAGACTGGTATTTTTAAAAGTATGTGCAGGGGGAGGGTGCGGTGGCTCACACCTGTAATCCCAGCACTTTGGGAGGCCGAGGCGGGTGGATCACGAGGTCAAGAGATCGAGACCATCCTGTTCAACATGGTGAAACCCCATCTCTATTAAAAATACAAAAAAGTAGCCGGGCGCGGTGTCTCAAGCTTGTAATCGCAGCACTTTGGGAGGCCGAGGCGGGTGGATCACGAGGTCGAGAGATCGAGACCATCCTGGTCAACGTGGTGAAACCCCGTCTCTACTAAACATACAAAAAATTAGCTGGGCATGGTGGCGCGTGCCTGTAATCCCAGCTACTCAGGAGCCTGAGGCAGGAGAACTGCCTGAACCCAGGAGGCAGAGGTTGCGGTGAGCCAAGATCGTGCCATTGCACTCCAGCCTGGGTAACAAGAGCGAAACTCCGTCTCAAAAAAAAAAAAAAAAAAAGAAAATACAAAAAAGTAGCTGGGCGTGGTGGCACGTGCCTGTAATCCCAGCTACTCAGGGGGCTGAGGCAGGAGAAATGCCTGAACCCAGGAGGCGGAGGTTGCAGTGAGCCAAGATCGCGCCATTGCACTCCAGCCTGGGTAACAAGAGTGAAACTCCGTCTCAAAAATAAATAAATAAATAAATAAAAATAAAAAAATATGTATGTGCTGGGGCCAGGGGCGGTGGCTCACACCAGTAATCCAGCATTTATGAGGGCTGTGGTGGGTGGATCACCTGAGGTCAGGAGTTCAAGACCATTCGGACCAACATGGTGAAACCCCATCTCTAATAAAAATAAGAAAAATTGGCTAGGCATCTGTGGTGGTGGGTGCCTGTAATCCCAGCTACTCGGGAAGCAGGAGAATCGCTAGAATTCAGGAGGCAGAGGTTGCAGTGAGCTGAGATCGTGCCACTGTATTCCAGCCTGGACAGTACATGTAGGCCAGACTGGGTGGCACACGCCTGTGGTCCCAATTATGTGGGAGGCTGAGGTGGGGGGATCGCTTGAGCCCAGGAAGGTGAAGTCGCAGTGTGCCATGTTTGCACCACTGCCCTCCAGCCTGGGCGACAGAGTGAGACCCTACCTCAGAAAAATTAAAGAAATAAAAAACACTACACGCAAATATTGCCTCGCAGCTATATGTGTTGCACTTGCAACGTTGCGAATTTGCTAATTGTTAAAAAATAAAATGGGAGGGGCTCAGGTGAGGGAGTGGCCCATGCACCCCAGTCTCCAGTGGGAGGCTGCGGCCCGCATGGAAGTGGAAGCCGGCACCTGAGGGCCCTGAGGCAGCCAGAGGCAGACGGGGACGAGATCAGACGCCGAGGAGCTCCTGGGCTGGCAGCAAGCTGAGCGTTTTCTGTCCTCCTGCCCTCCCGCCACTGGGCCCGAAAGCAGGTGTGACTGTGGAAGCAGCAAGGGGAGCCGGGTAACCAGAGCCCCCAGAGAGGGAGGTGCGTGGGGAAAGCCCGTGA